CCTCAACGGCAGCCATAGAAGTTCAGCGCCACAAACAACCACTGACATGAGCAAAAACAATGGAAAACAAGAATAAGTACCAGAACCAAGATCACAAACTACTGCTGATCAAGCTAAAGATCATTGAGAAGATCACCAATCAATAATATGAACAAACGAAAAATGCTTTGAAGTCAAGCGCTTATATTGTTATTTAAATTTTAAATTGTTTTAAGAAAACACACACATACACGTACATACATGCCACAAAAGAGAAAGAAGAAAAGTGCATATGTATGTATGTAAAATAAAGTTGAGGTGAACGAGGTGCAGCAACGAAAGACAGACACAACAACTACAACCAAGCATACGCATAACAAAATTCTGAAACGAAAATTGGCGCTTAAATATTTTCAAAACATTGTTGGCTTAACGAATGAGCGCGGTTGTAAGCGTTGGGTAATGAAAACTGTAAAGAACAAGCTCAACAAACAACAACCAAAGGTGCGCGTTATCGCTGATCGATCGATAGAAGGTAGGCGATCAGGATGGCTAGTGATCGAACTGATGTTGGTGTTGCTGCTGCTGCTGCTAGCATGATGATCATTGTTACTTTGCGATGCAACGTGGAATATGTAAATGCTTGTTGTGGACGTAAGAAGAAATTTTGAATGAAAATTATTGTCGGAATTTATTTATGTACGTACAATGATCGAAGAGTCAACTATATCGCCAGCGACTGTGGGAAATAAAAATATGACACTTGGCTGTGCAGCGGAAAAAAATTTTTCTCGCTTTCTTTTTCGTTTATCGTTTTTCGTTTTTCGTTTTTTTTTGCTTCTTTCACTTAGCCAAACACCAAGCAATGATGACGCTCAAGTGCGCACCCATTTGCATACATACAAACATACAGGCGAGTACATTTGAAAATCAATGAGTGCGCGCTTCAAGTACATCTACCCCCAAAAACTACACATTTCACTAACACTATAATGACATCAACTGTGGCTGCAGCGACAAGTGATCAGCGTTCAATACAAACGCTCGCCGCGATCGACACTGTCATTGCCACCGTCTCTAATAGCGCGCGACTACTGTTCAACGGTGTCTAAATGTGCTTGGCGTTTCTAAAGTGTTGCCCACTGCTGCCGACACCTTTTACCGCGGTAGGTAGCTGCTGTTTTGAGTGCGTCTCTGCTTTGCTGATAAATTTTTCTTTATTTTTTACTTTCTGTATTTATTTACATTTTCTTTATTGATTTTTTTTTTTATAAATTTTTTTACTTGCATTACACGCTGCAGCAATGTTTGCTCAAATAGTTTTCAGCGCAGCCTTTAGGCGCTTTTCGTTGTAAAAAAAAAAAAAAACTCAATCGATTGCCTTTGACGAAAACGGTGAAGCCGAGTAGTGAATGGGCTCAGCAGCCAGTGCCACCGCGTTTTGTTTACGGTAGGGTTATTGCCGTTCCTCTGCCGCCTTCCATCCGCCAACGCCACTATTCTATTTCGAATAAATTCTGACGTTTCCACCTTTCGACTCTTCAATTGCTACTTCAATGACTGTTGCTAGACTTTTTTGATTCCAAATTTTTCTTTTTTTTTATATATTTTTTTTATGTACCAACACCTTTTAATGAAGTGTGTATTTCCTCTGCCTGCTGGCTCGCTTGCCACGTTAATTGATAAATAGTTGCAGTGCCATTGCTTGCTTTTCAATGGCTCTTTAACGGCTGACGTGTAGTTAACAGGTTCAATGGTTTGCTTTTCAAATATTTTCCAAACTTTAAATCGATTTCATGATTTTTTTTTTTTTTTGTTTCCTTTCGACGTTTTGTTTCTGTCTCTTTACCGGCAACCCTTTAAGCGGCATTTTTATGCACTTTTCTTTATCTATATGTATATATGTATGTATGTATAACTATGAATATGTGTATTTTCTCTACTTGTTAGCGTTTATGCCATTGTTGGTGCTGTTGTGCGATTTCTCGGAAACATATGTATATTGCTGCAGCGACAGTTCGACGAGATTTTTGAAATAAAAAACAACAACGAGGTTTTGTCTTTCTTTTATTTTGGTTATGTTGCCATCATTTACCCATCATTTAGTAGATTCTTATTGTAGTCATTGTTCGTAATGTAGGTGCTAAATGTTTTCCACATTATTAACACCTCTTTATGGCCCATTCTCAAATGTTTGGTTACAAAGTAAAAAATAAAAAATAAAAAAATAGTGCATATTTTGTATGTAAGGCAACAGAGACCGGATGCATTTCTTTCTGATTTGAGGAAATTTTAAATTTATTTCGAAGACCTGAAACGTTTGTATATATGCAGTGAATCAGGCTGGGCTTCGTTTTGAAGATGTTGTGGCAACCAGCAGCAATTTGAACACGCTGTCTCGCGCTTAAACTTCAATAATTTAGTTCAAGTGAGTTTGTCCTCTTGATATGATTTTAGAAGAGATTACATGTTACAGGAAGCACAACTCATACGGATGGTCTTAAAATAGACTGTAGGTGTCGGTGAGAAAAACTCGAAAACATTCTGTCTCTTCACCTACCAAACTAAGAGAACATCTTCCATGTGAAAGTGCTAGTGATACTATAGCCCCATCAAAGAGCAGCTAATAGAGCAAGCAATAAATATTTATTTTCTGGAATCTTCAGAAGTTGTAACTGTATGTCTTGGTGGAGATTTCGATATGCTCTCCACCCAATACCAAACGACGGAAAACATAAAATGACAAAGAGAGAAAGGGAGGAAATTGCTGAGAACAGATGTAAAAGAGGCTATGAAATTATGCCAAAAGTGTTTCATAAGTTCATAATCCACAACTTATAAAGGTTAGGACCCAGTTGTTCGTAGGCTGTTTTAAAGAACCATAACTATCCGATACTTTTTTACCTAAAAAATTTCAATTTTCTTACATTTCTTACACACAAATTTAATCATTGAAAATGTTTCGCTGGTCCATCTTGTCTTTGAATTCCTGCCATGTCAGCGTCTGGCGCTCGGCAGACAGTTAATGAATTTACTTGCTGAGGAAATACTGGATGGATCTTTAAACACCAACCATTTCAAATGAATCATAATCCATAATACATGTAAGCAACAGAAATTTAAGCCATAAAGAAACCCGCCCACAGTTGCTTACTGAGAACTTCATTAAAGCAGAATTTTGTTGAAGAAAATTAACTTCTCATCGCATAAACAAATTGAGATTAGCCATGGTAAATATGGTATTTCCGCAATCCCCTATAATTCAACAAAGAAACAAACAACAACAATTAGTACAGGTGTACAATACAGCGTGAGCCATATGCTCAGACGGCATGCAGAAAGTACAATAAATCGCCACTAATTTGCCATGAAGCAATGGCTGGAAAACAGCCGGTCGTTGCATACCCAGAAATCAGCTGGACACAGTAAGGGCAATATTTTGAGGCGGTAAAATTGACATAAAGACTTTTCGCACATTAACATCACAGACAATGAGGATCAGCAGCATGACTTGCCAACGTGCCATCTCGCTCTACGCCGTTGTGAGTCAAGCAAGAGACACTCTGTGTTGCAACCTTTGCACCTGTTGCATGACCAAGCAGCATTGCATTGTTTCTTTTGCTTTGGGGGAAAAACCAGCGAAATACAAGGAAACAGCTCAGAATTTACGAGAATTTGTGTGTTGTTTTTTTTTAAGGACAATAGGATTTGCGACAATCGTTGAAACAATTCAATGTAACAAAGAGAAAGCCGCACTAAGAATGAAAACTAAAAAAATTATAAATGCGACAAATGATAGAGAGAAAGGTATGAAAGAGAAAGAAAACTAAAACAGTTGTTATTGTTGCGTGTAGCGCGTGCTGCATACAAACATAGTGAGTGTGTTGTTTTGGTATTTTTTTGGAACTCGTTTGAAGTGCACATTGCCTATGAAGGCATATGTTTGTCTATACAGTATCTTTGTGAACTTTGGCTATGCGCTCCTGTTGAGTCCTGCCCCGAATTTATATATATATATTTTTTTTTTTGTTTGTTGCGAAGAAATATGGAACAGATGCGCACAGCTGACCTTTTCGCTCGTGTCCACTTTCCGCTTTCGCACACATCTTAGCGCATATGTTCCGGTTTTTGTCGAGTTGGATTGCGGTCTATTTTACAAGCGGTAGCTCTAAAAGAAAGGAAAGTTCCTTTAAGGTTTGTCCATGAATTATGGCTAACATTTTTGCCAAAAATACCTTGCAGAAACTGTGTTTTCAGCATTCGCATGCCGCAGGAGGTCCCTTTTTTTCACAAATGTCCAGACTAATTCAGTTGTTTACCAGATGGAAGCATAAAAAGAGGCCTATAGAGAGCATATATATGTATGCAGATTTTTTAAATTGAGTCTTCATGGCCGCTGAAGAGATTAACTTAAATTTGTGAATTGCATATCTCCACATCTGTTGGAAATATACTAGGAAAGGCGAAAGTCGTTGGAAGCAGCAAGGTTTCGAGAGCTTCCAGGTATTTTATGGCCGTTACATTTACGTGGGCTGAAGTGCTTTCTGGTCGTTTCTCACGTGGTTGTATTCGATAATGTTTCGCATCATTGGATTTTTTTAAATTTTTTTTTCATTTTTCTTCCAATTACATTAAGAAAAAACAAAACTTTCTCCAAATCCAAACATTTTCGAAGACAAAAAAGAAGAAAACAGACGGTTATGTTTAATTATTGTTGACAGATAAATGTGAACCCTTTCCAAAAAAATAGGGATCGACCAAAACTTACAGTTGAAGCCATCTTTTGAGAACGTACCGAATCGATTCGAACCCCCAATTCAATATAAGTAAATGTTCCGAATAAATATATAGCAACAGGAACAGTAAATATCAATTTAGCAGACATTTTGACTTTAGCGTCTCTATTGAATATTTTTTTTTGGCAACATATTTAAAATGATCCACCCTCTAGGTTATATATTCATACTTTTAATTAATTAATTAATTAAATTTTAATTTTTTAAACAAATATATTCACTTACGTGTCTGTGAAATGTCTGTCACTGAGACTGTTCCTTCCGCAGCTACATGTATGGCTTTGTTGTGTGCACACTGTGACATTATTACATAATCTTCTACTGTACATAATGCACCCGAAATCACCACCTGAAAAAATACAAAAGTTATGAAGGTAGTTTTGAGAACAATAATTTTTTTTTTTAAATTTTATAATTACTTTTCAACGTAAAAATATTTTTCTTTTTTTTTTGGTTGAAGTTGTATTTATTTCGACCCCTGCGCCATCTATAAATTTACTCGAAAAAGTTCAGTAGTAATTGAGTCTGCGAAATGCCTCTAAAACTATTTTTAGAAGGCATCTCGACCGCAGCGCCACCTAATGCTAGAAGTTGCAAAAAACTCCAAACTAAAAACCGACTGCTTGCCCACCAACTCAACCTGTACTTTTTTATATATTTACCGAATGCTTTTAATAGTTCTTACTTTTATTATTCTTAAATTCCTCTTTGCATTGCAAACAACACCCGAACATAGAATTTTGGTGTGACATCTAAAATACGCCCAAATAAACACCGGTAGCATTGTGTAAGTCCAGTGGCGGTAAAAATAATGTTTCCAAACACATTTTTTCCGATTCTTGATAAGAATGCATACCTTTTCATGTTTTCTATGGTGTTTATCAGTAAATGTTTGGAGAGATAAAATAAGAGAAGTAAATGTATATTTGTAGGTGAAGATAAAAAAGCGCAAATGTTTATCTGGTCATAAAAGAATAGACAAGAAATAAGCATAAATACAACAATATAACTGTTGATGCGAATAAAAAAATTTTTTATCATATTTAAAACATTTGGGGGCTCTATTGGGTGAAGATCCGCGACTGTCTCACTTTGTTTTAACGATCAAAAACTACCTGGAAACGCTGAGTTTAATTAAAACATAATTTAAATGAAAATAAATACTTAATTTGTAGGGAATTAACTTCAATCACTTTAAAAAGAGCGCTGTATAAATCAACACTACTCAAAAATAGCCTGCGCCGCATACGCCCTGTTGACCAGTTTTGTTACTGTGAAAACATGCGCGTTCTTCCTCTAATTATATCTGTACCTATAAATATATCAGCCACAACTTGGGTGTAATTAAAATTGCATTCAACGCGTGTAAGTGTCAGCAACATAGTTCTGCATTTATCACCGGCACTCTCTTCTCCACTACCTCTTTTCCCGCTATTACATTACTCGTATTTCCATGTTGCTGTTGTCGGCTGTCTAACACTCGTTTTGCTTATATTAATTAATAATTAAATTATCATTCTTGACTCTTAAATGAACAAGTCATTCAGCATTGTCTTCGCTTTGTCTTCGCCCTGTTCGCACTTTGTCTCAAAAGTCTGTTGGTTCGCATGTCATTTGATTCATTGCTATTTGGCGCCATTATTGTTGGTTTTATTTGCACTTCTTTGCTATTCATTTATGTGCTTTGTGCTTTGTGTTATGTGCTTTGTTTGGTTTGTTTACGTTTGTTGGCGTTTCTTTCTGCATTTAATAGCTTTTAATTAAATAAGTCTTACAATTCCACTGCGATTGAGTTATAGCGTTTGGAGTCACACCCACTGATTGGAGTCTTGCAAAGACAGTCAAAGACTTATGCGAGATTTTAGTCTGCAATAAATATATCTCGGGTGGTCAGGTGGTCAGGAAACATTAGGGTGCCAACTTTAAGTGACAGTTGAAAAACCACTTGCGCTAGAGAGAAGGACAGAACTGTCAATTAGTTAACGGAACCGTCTGCTTGGTTAATTAAGAAACATACGTGTACGTTGCGGTCTGTTTTCTGGAAATAGTATCTGGGTTTGCTGATCAAAAATCATAACTTTTCGAAGTATTCCTCTCATAGTTAAAGGTATAACCGTGACCTCGAAACCCTCTGATAGATTAAGCCAGAAGTTATTCTCTAATTTTTCTCAGGTTAAGATAGTGTTGAATCTCCAGATCGAATTTCATGGGATATATCTTCCATCCTTTGATTTTTTGGATTCAATTTTATTATTATTTGACTTATCGGTCGGCGCAAAATTGGTTAATCCCTGCCAAGATCGGCCACAACTTGCAGGCGGAGCCATCTTTTGACAACAAACTAAACTGTACCCCCAATAATATATATCATGTGGACATTGATGTCCGTTTCCGTAACCGTTTAATTTCTATAGCTCATTTTAATTACAATTTGTATTATGAGCCCCCTCTTTCTCATAGTGATGTCAAATTATCTATTTTTAATTCACAGTGCTTGCGTCAGTTTTTTTCTACTTAATTTTTATTTTTTTTTTCTATTTTTTTTACCTAAGGCAATTAGCTAATAGCAATAAAATTATTTGCCTGTTAATTATTCATATTTATTTTGAAGTGACGTCACAGTAGCGGTGAAAACATTATTTTTCTTCATATAAATATATATTTATATACTGCAGATACTGTGCAATAGGACTTCCGTATGTTTACACTGTGTGAGATTGCATTGAAATGAAGTACGGTATTTGTAGTTATGCGTTGGAATTTCAAGCAAAACAAGTCTGTGAACTTACGCCGGGGAATAATAGTTTAGTTATGCCAATGCCTAACGTAAACCAGCTACACTTAAATAATTAAATAATGAAAATCTTTGCTGTTCCCTATATAAGCGGTGAAAAAAGATAATCTTAATGTCCAAACTAATGGTTAAAGTCGCAGATTCCACCTACAAATCAGATAGTTTGGAATTATTCTTTCATGTTCTCTTTTTCCTCCATTACTGTACTTCGTTTAATTACGCTCACGTTCTCTGTCACTGAAGCATACCATTCAGTCTAGCATGTTGCTCGTGTATGTATGTGTTTATATTTCAAAATGGTTTTTTTTTTTTTTATTTTACTTATCACCTATAAATTTTCCAAACTCCCCAATAGATCAATTACCAAAAGCTTAAAATTCCATTTTTATTACTTGAACTAAAAAAATTAATTTGTTTGGTTTTCTTAATCTTATCAGGAAAATTGCGTCGAACTGGCGTTGTAATTTATCAAACACGCTCATACAAACAATATCAAACACTACGTACTTACTATATTTATTATCTTAAGATACAAATACTACTAATATTAAGTAATACAAATTAATATTGTGGCGCACTACAAGTAACCTTGACGGGTTTTGGGCCCAGTAAATTGAGGAGATTTTAGTTCAATGAGAAATTAAGAAACAAATGTGCTTACTAGAATATATTTAAAAAAAAATAAAATAATTTTTTTTACCCTCTTAGTCAACTTTTTTTGGCTTTGACTATAGCACTGAAAATTCGGTAAAAATCGTTTTTACTTAGATTAGCATGATGACTACTCTTTCTTTCTGGAAAAGTATACATACATATCCGTGGTACGATAAGTCAAATTTTTGAATGATATGTCTAACTGGAATTCCTTTCTTTCCTCGAAATATACCAGAAACCTGGAATCATGTTGAATTTGCTTTAAATACCAATAGCATTTCTTAACGAGAAAAGAATAACCGTAAGATCAAAAATAATAAATATGATGTGGATATAAAAATAGAGCGTTCGTAGATTTGTCCACTTCGCACTTTTGTTACTCTACAGCTGCGGGTTACATTTTGAAATTTTCGTAAAAGACTTAAGAGTGTAGGAGTGGGTAATTACGTAATATAATAAAAAAAATTTATGTTTAGAACTAGATAATGCTTAATTTGGATTTTTTTAATCGCTCTCTGCAATACCAACTAGGGTCTGCTAGTTCTATTAATAAAATATTTCCAACTGATGATAACCTATTGCCAAATGGAATTTTATTTTATTCCATCAAAAATATTGACACGCAATGACCAACTGACGTAGTTCCCAAGCATTAAAACCGAAAACGGGCGGAGAAGTTAAATATTCATTAATGGTTGTGTCGTTTGTATTATATTTACATTGAAATACATAAAAATAGAACTTGACATTTGAAGACTACCCTCCCCTCTCGTTACTATGAGAAATTGAGACAAATTACTGAAATAGACAGGATTGAAAATAGTGGGCTGTACCATTTATGAACAAATTAATTAAGAGTTAAAGCAAAAGTTTTTCAAAGCCCAAAGCTTCATTTTCAAACTCGAAGGAACTAACAAGTATTGTATTTGCTATGAGACAATTCAGCAAGCAGATGCATATTGTTTTCAAGTGTCTTTGTTAGTCCAGAAAGATAGCTATTTCTATAGAGGACGAGAGGATAGAAGATCGATCAAAATCTTTTTCATTAAGTCACTGTAACTCTATTATAGCTTAATAAAGACACCGAGCATTGACTGGTTATGCTTTCCGAGCTTTAAATTGACTCAGAAGGACTAGTGAAGAATTTTAGTTCTAAAGACGTAAATTCAACAAGAAAATTTACAAATTCAAAGACTGTTTTATAGAATGAAAAAATGCCTGGCTAGGATTATGCAGTGTGCAACTGTTGTGATTGAATTCCAGCAGAGATTTTCTGAGACTGTTCTCTGGTTAATATGAAACCCAAAAGAAAAAAGACGAAGAAAAAAAGGGAAAGAAGAGGAATAAACGCATAAAAATAGGGGCAGTAGTAACAAAAGCTGGGTAAAGCAGTATATCATACGTTCTATTCCCAGCGAAAATTTGACTGTAACTCAAGACCTTTCCGCATGCGAGCCTCGTTATACTTTAGTTTCAACATGTAGAATTTGATTGTGTGCAGCCAAATCAGAAATTTTTTTCATAATGAGAGAGACTACAAAATCTAACCTATACCGAAGCAGTGCGATTCTGCATTACAGTCAAGAAAAATACGAAAATATAATATAATATGCTACGACAAGCCATAGAAGAGAAGAGTATAATTCAGACTGTGGATACAAGGGAGTGTTTTTATATTCGCGGAGTAATGGCAAAGGAAGGGGAAAAAAAGAAAAAGAAATTTTTTTCCCTTTCAATATGTTCACCTTTTTATCATTTCTTCATCTTCGGTGATGAAGTTTTTTACCCTTCAGCTATTTTTTATTTTAGAAACAGTTAAAAATTACTCGGGTCAGGTCTCGGAGGTAAGGTAGATGCTTAAAATTTCCGCAGCTCTTTTGTACGGCGATTTTTGCGGAGGTATGAGCATTCACGGTAGCCATCTTGCGCTGACAGTAGTCATGCCCAGATGTTAATTCAGGATTTTAAAAAATGGTTGTATCGGACACTCGAACCGTTTCTGCGAACTTTTTCTTCCTTGGGTCTTCAAGGGATTGTCTTTCTTATTTAGCGTCACTTGACTTGTTATGCCACTTGCACATCGTGGGTCTCCGGATAAGAGTTTCCTTAAACTGATATTACTAGCATGATATGGATTTTTATATCAGATATTTTCCATATTTCACTTTTCACTGCCGATTACGTTGCTTGCTTGACGATAGCTCAAAAACTATTTTGCTAATAACAGTGGAAGGGCGAGTGATCAAGGACTTTATACGAAAATTTGTAATTAAAATAATCAATATAGGATTTTTGATGATATTAACTTCCAACTGGCTTTAATTACGATGAGACAATAATTCAATTTTCTTGGTGTTTTCCACTGGAACTTGTTGAAGAGTTCTTTGGTGAACTGTCCGACAACAAGCTTTTCCACTCGCTTGGTTACCGCAGTAAATAAGCTTCAGCCTCAAACTAGCTTTATTAATCTTACTCATTTGAAAGGAATTTGTTTAAAATTTTTTCACTTTTATAAATTAAAAAAAAAAAAATAATAACTTTCTATTTCGAATTTCTTAAACTGCATGAGCAACCAAAAAAAAAAAAAAGGAAAAGAAAAAAATAATAAATAAATTAAAATTAAATTAGCACAACATTTATCAAGCGTCAATGAGTCAAACAATAAGTAGAATGAGACCCAAAAAGTCACGTTCATGCGCTTGTCTCTCAAATGCTACTTCCTGTGTTCCGCCACTCAGATATTCAAGCACACCGGGTGCGCCTCTTTTACTGATAATTAAAAAATAATTTATTATTACATATTTATTGCATATATGTACATACATACGTACATATTATATATGATATTTAAATTTTTTTTTACTCTTTCTACTAATGTTTGTTATTGCCTTTGCGGTAACTTTACAAAATTTCTTTACTTTTCCATTTGTTTTTGTGAAGGACTGAAAGCAAAAAAAAAAACTGAAAAGTGGGGCGTTCTTTTGAGTTTCTTGCGCGCTAACGAGGTTACTTGTAAAGTACGATAAACATTAGTTCTCTGATAAGCAATAATGATTACAAAGCTATGTAAGTTTAATAATGCACACACACACATACATACCAGTGGTCTGTTTCTTCTCTTGTAGCTCAACCAATAAATTTTTTAACTTTGTATTTCATGTACCCCTAAGTATGTTATAGCGTCAGTATTCACAGTGTGAGCGATATGTATTTATCTAGGAAAAGATTTGCGATTCAGCCGGAAAATAGAACTTTAACGTCATAATAAAGAAAAAATTAACAAATATTAATTAGATTTTTGAAACGTTATCTTTGACGCCAGAGTAGCGTGAAATAGACACATAGATCATGCGAACCGCAAAGCGTTGAAGATTAGCAGGAGGAACAAAATGCTACAAATTCAATTACCTTTAGGAAATTCCTCAAAGTGTATATCGATCGAATCTGAGTTAATCTAGCCATTTTTATGTGTCCGTCTATGTATGTTATGCTGATTAATTTTTGAGTTTCATAAATCGTTCATCGGAACAGAAATATATATCTCCTGTAGAACTCATTGCTCAATTCTGTGATTTCATGTTATAATATCTACAACTAAGCATCAATGAATATGTTAATTAATACCCTGATCAGACATTGCATTTGAAAGATTGTTACTAAAATTCTCCTTACATTTCGCACACCTTGAAAACGTAATCAACCCGTGTGCCGCCTTAAAAGAGATAGATACTGGCTGAACTCCTTCCCTAATTTATAGTGATCGTCTTGATTTTTTTCCAACAAATGGAGAGACCGTTTGCTTCATAAGGAGCTTTTCTTTCACGTACGTTTGAAATAACCTCGAAAAGCTTCATATTCCACGCCGAGGGTCGCCCGTCAGTAGAAAAATTACTTTTCTACAATTTTGGATGTTCTCCGAACCAATATAAGGATTTACTGCTATCTAAAAAAATTTCCTCAATCAGTATACCTTAGCACAGCGAGGTTGTGCACTAGGTTTAGGAGCCGGTACGTAAAAAAACTAGTCTCATTGGAAAAACCAACCAAACCCGCGGAAGAGAATTTTCAATTTTGTTGATAAACACGACGAACGTGATAAAGATTGTGACTCCACAATTGGGAAAATGCTTCTGCTGCTGCCGTCGAAAATATAAGCCTGATATCACCACTACGGACGGATGAGACAATGCCAGAGAAGTCATCAGTTTTTGTGACTTGACTGACACGAATTTTGTGATGGATGGAAGTCTTGGTCACCGAATCCTACGCTTTAAACCCATACACGAATACTCGCCACGCGATTTCAAGACTTTGGAAAGAGCTAAGTGACCAAGAATGCCTTCTTGGAATGTTTGAAAAACGCTTATAAGTACTGGTCCTACCACGAAATAAAAATCGTGTTTTGGGACTTCCTGGATGGACTGTGTACGTAAAAGCTCGAAACCAAATACCTCATGTCGCCAGTGGTTAGGATATGCGTACTATGAGAGGTGCCAACAACGATTCGAATCATTATCTTGTCGCAGTCAAACTAGAATCATTTGATTTGAAAATGAGGCGTGTAATACACCTCTTTAAAAACTCTGTTGAAACGAAAGAAATTTGTGATACGACAAATTAGATAAAAATTGTTCGAATTTCGATAAAATTTTCTGTTTCAGTAGTGAATTTTCTAGTTCGAAATTTTCTTAAAATAATAGTATTTCTACAAAGAGGCATATTTAGCCAAACTTTTTTATGTTTCGGCCATAAATTATATTTGATGGCTTGCCATAATTTTCAATTTTCACAAAAAACCAGTCGAACTCACTACCGCACGACAATAAATATGTACTTACAATAAAAAGTAGCAGCCTGAACTGATTCGACATTCATTCGGCGATTAATTAACATTTCCAATTTGCAAATCCTATTTTTTTTATATTTTACTGCTTTTATTGTTGTTTTTGATGTTTGTGGTTAATATTTGTGTAGATTTTTCCAGTGAAGCATGTCGGCACGGCACAGCACTTCAAAATCAAGCCACTTTTTCTATGGAAGTGTGCCACTGCGGCTATTCAAGAGCTTTTTGTAATTTGTTGTTGTTGTTGTTGGTATTGGCTTGCAATAATTACCCACAACAACCAGTCGCTACAAACGACAATTTTTTACGATGCACTATATTTTATGTATGTACGCAATTTTTTTTTTATTTATTTTTTGCTCTCTATATTTATTTACTTTTTCAAATGCACTTTTGCTGTTTTCTTTGTTTTTGTTTGTTGAATTTTTTGCTTTCTGTGTATTCTGATTTTCCTATTGCTTTTCTTTAATATTTAAATTTCGCATAAATAAATGTCACTTTTAACCGCAACCAACGCCAGCATAAGTCAATTAAGTCACTGTGCCGTTGCTGTTGTTGCTGTTGTGGCATGGACATTTTCACTGTTGCCACAAAAGCGGTGAGCATAAACAATTTATTGTTGTTATTATTTAATAATTAGTTATTTCGACTCTTTATTTTTGAACCGAGTTTAATAAATTTTTTTTTGTAACTTCGCACTTAACGGTATTTGTGTCTGAGTCTGGCAGCGAGAAAATTTAAAAAAATTTAATCTTTCGCGCCAAAATTTGTCCTCAAAAAATTGCTAATTTTTAAAAATTGCAAACAAAATCTTGCGAAAGCGAGAACGCGCACGCTAATGAGCTCAGCTGTAGAAGAGCGTGCTCACGTGTTATTGGACGGACGCACACTTGCACACCATACTTGTTAAAAAAAAATATTTCCCACTGTTGCTATTGTTTTCATTTCATTTGTTTCTGTTTTTTATGTGTTTACCCGCCTGCACGTTGACAATTTTGCTTTGAATCCGTTCGGACGCGTCATGAAACGTCTAAGCACTGCAATGGAACTGTCAAGACTAAAAACCACATACATAAGCGCCAAAAAATTCGACGTGCTCGTCCCTCAGCAGCGCCAACAGCGACAGCGTCAGCGTCTCAGCGTCGTGCGGAAAGACACGAGACAGTGACATCGGTGTGCCATAGACAGCGACGTGCCGGCGAGTGACAGCGCTGCAACTGCGCAAATGCAAGCCGGTGGCAGCGTAGAGTTTCGGGCATACGACGGCAACAGCACACGATGTCAACGAGTAGAGCAGTGACAGTGGCATTAAAATGTGGCAAATTTGTTGCCAGTTCAGGCTCTTGCTGAGGCGTTGCTTTCAAAGAAGCCATATGCAGCAGTGGTTGATGTAACAGCGCAGAGACAGTGAAGTTGTGTGACAAAAAGTGAGATATTGTCATTTGATGGAGAAGTCGCATGCGAGTTTTTTTACACATTTATTTTGAGCAATGAGCTTTGGGGAATAGTGAAATGGAAATCAAATTTTTGACAACTAACGATGAGGCGGCCTTAGGACTATTGGGTACAAAGATATTGCGGAAGATTTATGATTCGAAAGCCTACACTATAGAGGGTTGAAGAATTAAGAGTTCGAGATATATGTACGAGTGCGTATATATTCTGCACTTGACATTGACATTCATGTGTCCGTATGGATGGAAATAATCCTGCTGTGAAGGCAGAAGAAGCTGGGAAAGATTTAGACCTCCACTCCGTTTGAAATATCAAGTGGAGAGAGACCCACACACTCGACTTGGTGGCTCCAAAAGACACCGATCTCTTGTATATGGTCGCCAAATGCTGACCTTCAAAAATTACATATGCACTTCCTTGTCCCTACGCCGTCGCTACCCATGTTGGAGCTGCAAAATCTTTTGTTAGTAATAGTGCGCATAGTTTAATTATCCAACATTGGAAATCTTAATTTTTGCAACTATTTGCCTAAATATGTGTGTAGAGCAAATGAGGGAAAACCCTGGCAACAATTCGCTTTATAAGGGACAGAGCTACCCCCTCATATAATCAGATCTTTTGTACTTCTTCTTAATTGACATAAGCGCTGTTTACGTGATGATAATCGAATCATGAAGGGTGCATAATTGAGAAGACTTATTGTACGATATTTGTGAAGACTGTGGGGTCTCCTTTTAAACCTGTTTTCGTCCGTGAATATTTCGCAAAGAGATGAATGTACTCAGGCACTTCTGCATCGCCTTTGAATAGATCGGCTGGCAATCCATCGAATCTAACTGCTTTTCTATTGTATTAAAATCTTAAACTTTGCCCTGTCCACCGGACACTGAAGACTCTATACGGACTATTTATATGATCAAAAGTTCCCTCTTCTTTACACTAAACAACGTTTTGTGTGCCATTAACAACAGCAATTTCGTACTAACCGTCTTGTTCAAACAAGTTCCAACCACCGCGGGCTCATACCGATAACGGTTTCTTCGAATTGGTTAGCGAACAAGTTGTGGCCACCACCAGAGTTGGGGCTAATCGAACATGTTCGCTGGCAGGATGGCTGCAAAGGAAAACTTTTGATAACAGTTCACAGTTTATTTTTCTGTTTTGTTTCGACCCGCCCTGATCCTCCGGCGTGGCGGCTGCTGTGACAGTTAAGAACCTTAAGCTGTTGTACAACAATGTTGCAGGAATAGAAAATACCTTAGTGACAATTAACAGCCGATTGCACGCGGTGATCATCAACCGGATAAACCGATCACAATCAACAACAAGAGTGATAAAAAAGTAACTGCTTTTTTACTTATTTAAATTATTTTTCACTCTCTTCTTTCCTGGCTTTCGCGCGAGCTGATTTTTTATGGCGTCGATTTTGTGGCGGTACATTTACGAGCTGAAACTAGCGCCTTGCGGCGATTTTATGTGTGCTGTTTTGGGAGGAGAGTTCAAAGGCGTTTTGCGCGCATCAGCATCGTTGTGGTCTGGTTGGTCGGTTGGTTTGTCGGTTGGTTTGTCGGTTGGAATGTGTGTTGGTCATCATTACGAGCGTAAATATTAATAGTAAGCGCATCTTTGCATGTTTACACACAACTCCGCAAGCAAGTACGTTAATGGCTTATGCAAAAGCTGGCGTATTTATCGTTTACATATGCACATACTTACATACATACATATACGTACGAACACAATATTTTGATTGCAGTTAGTTGGATAGTAAGTGCGGCAGTGGAGCGGCATTAAAATCACTTAAACGAACATTTGTGGCGAGTAACTCGTGGTTAATTGGTTGTTTTACTCGAAACCGGTGTTAAGGACAACTCGAATGGCTTGTGTTTTTAATTAAAAATTCTATTTAGGTAATAAGTGAGTAAATAGTTTAAGCTGGAATTGTATTTTCGTACTTCTCTCTGAAGACGGAGGGATTTAAAGCCACAGAATGAATGCAAAGAAAGAAGAATATACGCTCAAGCCGATAGGCTTGGACGAAAGCTGCTTATTAATCGGACGGAACCTGGCGTTTACTAAAGTCTTAGTGAAGGCATTTAAAAACCTCAGCTGATTGGGCTCACTGTAGGCCTGGAAATATCTATTGTATCACCTTCACAAGGGGGACAAATGGACTCGTATTGAACTCGCCAACCTGGAACGAAAAGAGATACTACAATTAGACTACAGCGAAATCTTAAACTGAAAATATCGCAGTGAAGTTTCATTTCTTTTAGTCGTGAGCCGAGGCTCCACAGGGGTAAGTAATACAAGGTTCTAGCCAGCCTGATGTGTACACAAGAGTAGAAACTGTAGCTGCTATTACATCCCCATAGTACCTCATATTCGGTCAAAAATCTCGATGATATTCTGGATAAAAAACTTTACTGACTTTACATACTAACTTATGATGGTCTATAGGAACTACCTCAACAAATACCCTGTAGCTCATCCTTGACAACAGTACAGCACTCAGTGTTAGCTGCCTTAAAGTCCTACACAGTTGAGTTTAGTGTGAGAATTCGGAAAAAGAAAAGCATCTGCCAGATGCAAGCCACCTACTTCCTACCAATGAGGTTATAATGGGAGGAAACAAAGCTTTCGGTGGTAATATTTGTATACTGTTGGGTAAAAGTGAGAAGTAGACATATGAGCTGGGTTGTTAAGAGAACAACGTAATGACTACAACACTGTTTTTCAAGTATAATTTGAGGACTAAACTAAAAGACCATAACTTTAGTTTCTAGTGAAAAGTCAAGCGGCAATTAAATGTGTGGCAGAGTGGATTACGGACAGATCAAAATGTGTAAGCGTGAATCGACCGAGCGCAAGGTATGCACAGAAGCGGACCTCCCTCTGCGTGTGCCTTCAGCAGAATGAGGCGCCTACTGGCCTCAGTGCCTTCGCTCTCTGTCAGGACCTCAGCCTGCCCTCCCAATATATCAACCAAACATTCAATGCACTTTGAATTCTGTATGAAAGAGTCCAAATCCGGTTGGTACTAGTACTAAGGTCTGACTGCCACAGGAACTATTGGCTTTAATTTCCTTGCCCACGGTTAATTCTTGTTATTCCCCAAGAGCTGCGTTTCCAGACAACGTACTGTAGAGAAGGCAGCTCAAAGAAGGTCGATAAAAGCTTTCCACTAACAGTTCCACTTAATCGTTAGGCTTCAAATGAAATCTACTAATTTTGTGCCAATTAAACTGTCCACACCCAATTTTAACTGCCATTCTCAACAACAAGCGAGATTTCTGTATAAAGGTTAAGTGGTCTAAGCATTAAAACAAATTTGTTGTTGCGCAAAAAATAAAAAAAAAACTTCCATTCTCTCATTTTCCTCCTTCCTATTCATCCCATTTCAACTCGAAAACTCACAATTCACACAATTTAAGCGATTAACGGTAATGGCATACAATAAGCACACAAATAGCGCACTACAAATCAATACCAATCACTTCACATCGCTTAGCTTGTTAGCAATACAATGAGTTGTGGAAGAGTTAGGGGACATATCTGGGTAGAGGCAAAGAAAGAGGAGGCGCAAACGCCACTCGAGCCAGACACTTCCGGTCAAAGTGGTAGGAGAAAACAGTACAAAAGCCTTGATATAACAAACAGTTGATTGACACTTTACTTCGATGTATGGACGACGTGATGTGGTCATATCACACACATATCGGCAGTAGAAACAAAAACAACAACAGCAAAACGTAACTGAATTTCCACTCGGCCGAAAATTTGTGTCAAAGCTGATAAATTGGAGAGAATAATAGTTACTCAGACACACTCCAATCTACTTCTGTATGTATATGTGTGGGCATGCCTTTATTTGCCCATTTGTGTGTGTGTGTGTGTGTTCATGTACTTTGTGTATCAAATTACA